GTTACTCATGAGACTGTACCATTACACATGTACACAGGGGTTTTACACTATGAAACCATTTGATTCCAGGTCATCACCTCTCCCTCTTCACAGTTAGTATTAGGGTATCCATGGTTACGTGCTCACAATCCCATTTTTGACTGGGAGACAGGGCAAATAAAATCATGGAGTGAGGCCTGCCACGAGTCTTGTACGTTGGAAGTCACACCTTTAAATTCTATTGAGGTACCTACCAGTCCTCCTTTGTCTACGGTTATACCCCCTCAGTATTTATCTCTAAAGACTGTTTTCGATAAAAGGGAGGCTGAGAAATTGCCGCCTCACAGACCCTATGATTGCGCTATTGACTTGTTGCCTGGCACTATACCTCCAAAGGGCAGGGTGTACCCCTTATCGGTTCAAGAAAACCGTGTCATGGAGGAGTACATCAAGGAATCACTAGAAAAAGGGGTTATTAGGAGATCCTCTTCTCCAGCTGGAGCAGGGTTCTTCTTTGTATCGAAGAAAGAAGGTGATTTAAGACCGTGTATAGATTATAGAGGTCTAAACAAAATCACTATCAAGAATGCATACCCTATACCTTTAATTACAGAATTATTTGACAGACTGAAACATGCCACTGTGTTCACTAAATTAGACCTTAGGAGTGCATACAATTTGATACGTATAAAGGAAAATCACGAATGGAAGACTGCATTCAACACTAGATCCGGTCATTATGAATATACTGTTATGCCATTTGGGCTTTGCAATGCCCCAGCAGTATTCCAAGAATTTATTAATGATGTCTTAAGAGATTTTATTCACACATTTGTTATCGTATACTTGGACGACATTTTAATATATTCTACAGATATATACACTCATCACAGACATGTTACGACAGTTTTGAAGACCCTTCTTGCTAATGGTCTTTATTGCAAGCTAGAAAAGTGTCTGTTTGACCAAACCGAAGTCCAGTTCTTGGGGTATTTGATTTCCGCTAAAGGTTTTCGTATGGATCCCCAGAAGCTTGCTGCTGTAATAGAATGGCCTCTACCGCAAGGTCTGAAAGCTATTCAGCGTTTTCTTGGGTTCTCCAATTATTATAGGCGTTTTATCAAAGGTTTCTCGTCCATTGTAGCACCTATCACTCGTATGACTAAAAAGGATGGCAATACTCGTGTTTGGTCTACCGAGGCACTTCAGGCTTTTGAATTTCTTAAAACTACGTTCGCCTCTGCACCTATTTTACAGCATCCTGTCCCCTCACTGCCCTATATTCTTGAAGTTGATGCTTCGGATATTGGGGTAGGTGCTGTCTTATCCCAAAGAAAGTCGCCTGAAAAGCCATTGCATCCATGCGGCTTCTTTTCTAAACAAATGTCCAAAGCAGAGAAAAATTATGATGTGGGTAATCGCGAACTCCTTGCTATTATTTTAGCACTTAAAGAGTGGAGACATTTGTTAGAAGGAACTAAGGATCCTATCCTCATTTTTACGGATCACAACAACCTATCCTACCTTAGGGAAGCCAAAAGATTGTCTTCCAGGCAGGCTAGGTGGTCACTATTTTTGTCCCGTTTCAATTTTATTATCACCTATAGGCCAGGTGATCGCAACACTAAAGCAGACGCTCTGTCCAGACAGTTCGAAACTACTGACAAACAGGAGATTGATGTTACTCCTGTCATTCCCCCAGACAGGATAATAGCTACTACTATTTTGTCTATTTCCTCGTCCCTCTTGCAGACCATACAAGCGAAACAAAGCATGGCACCTAGCGAGAGGCCTAATGATAAACTGTTCGTTGATGTTCCTGAGAGACGGGATATTATGTCATTATATCATGATACTAAGACTGCTGGACATCCTGGTATTTCCAAAACGGTGTCAGCTGTTTCTCGGTATTTTTGGTGGAATTCCTTACGAAAGGATGTCACTGACTATATAAGTGCTTGTACTACTTGTGCCTGTATGAAATCCTCCCGTAGAGTTCCTTGTGGGCTGTTGCATCCGTTACCCGTTCCCGAGAGACCTTGGTCTAACCTGTCCATGGATTTTATTGTTGAATTACCCCCTTCAAATGGTAACACAGTAATCCTGATGATAGTGGATCGGTTCTCCAAAATGGCTCACTTCGTGTCTCTTCACAAGTTGCCCACATCCAAGGAACTGGCTCATATCTTCGCTAGAGAAGTATTTCGATTACATGGGATTCCCGTATCTATTGTATCCGATAGGGGTAGCCAATTTATTTCCAGGTTCTGGAGGGCCTTTTGTTCAGAAATGGGTATTTCTCTCTCATTTTCTTCAGCTTATCATCCCCAGTCTAATGGGGCTGCTGAACGTGCCAACCAGTCTCTGGAGCAATACCTCCGTTGTTTTGTGTCTCACCATCAGGACAATTGGTCTGACCTGCTTCCTTGGGCTGAATTTGCTCGGAATAACGCCACTCATGATTCTTCCGGCAAGACCCCTTTTTTCGTTGTCTATGGCCAGCATCCCGTTGTTCTTCCGGCTGCATTCTCCTCACAGGGCATGCCAGTTCTGGATGAGCATTTGGCTGGTTTGCGTAATACTTGGGAGCAGGTTCAGCGTTCTTTGGTGGACTCTGCTACTCGCCAGAAGGCTCAGGCTGACAAGCATCGCAGAGCAGCTCCGTCCTATGTTGTGGGGGACAGGGTTTTGCTTTCCACGCGGAATATTCGTCTCCGGGTGCCTTCTATGAAATTGGCTCCCCGCTTCATTGGACCTTATCGTATTATACATAAGGTTAATCCTGTTTCTTATGCCTTAGGCCTGCCTAAGAATCTACGTATTCCTAATGTTTTTCACACCTCATTGTTGAAACCTTTCGTACGCAACCGCTATACCCGGCATACTCCTCCTCCCCCTCCTATCTCGGTGGAGGGTCATGAGGAGTTTGAAGTGTCTGCTGTTCTTGACTCTCGTTTCCTTAGGGGTCGACTTCAGTACTTGGTACATTGGAAGGGTTATGGGCCTGAGGAGCACAGTTGGATTTCGGCTGATGCTGTCCATGCTCCCCGTCTTGTGCGCTCTTTCCATTCTCGTTTTCCTGCCAGGCCTGGTCCTACCCGCCCGGGGGGCGTGTCCTCAGGGGGGGGTACTGTAGCGTTACTTACCTTAACCGGGGGCCGGTCGCGGTCCTCTCTTCAAGCCGCGCGCGGTCCTGCGGCTGCACGAGCCGCGCGCGGCTCATCCGACTGCTTTGGATGGAAGGCGGGCAGTGACCGCGTGAGGCGGCCACGTGTCCCGCCTGAAACTAAGAGCGCGCCGCGAGTCTCGGGCGCGCTCTTAAAGAGACAGTGGGAGCCTAATTGCCAAAAGGCTCCCATTGGCTCCTGTCATACCACACTCCCTATACAATTACCTATAGGGGTGTGGAAGTGACAGGAGCCAATCACTTTGGTTTAAAAGCTATTTAACTTACCTTTTTCCCTTAGCTCGTTGCCCTATCGTGGTTTCTGTTTCAGTTCCCTTTAGCGCTTTTGGTGTTCAGTTGTGTTTTCTCGTATTGACTTTGGCTTCGTATTCTGACTTCGTTTTCGCTTTATCCTTATCTGTACTGTTTGCCGGCTTGCTGTTTTCCGTGTACCAGACCCCGGCTTGTCCTAGTTTCGCTGTCTCTCTGTGCCCTTGACCTCGGTTTGTTCCTGGCTCTGTCTTCTCTCATATACGTCGAGTCCGGCCATTCTAAGGTCCGGTAGACGTATCTCTCCTCTGTATTTGCCTCTGTTTAGCTGGATCCTGCGTGTAGGGGTATATTCTCGTTACACAGGAACAGCATAAAATAATCCAAGGAAATAAATACAGCATACAATAATCCCGGTAGCATTATAAGAATCCTTCCTTCCCAAGAACTAGACAACACATAGGCTGGGAGTCAACTGAGGTTTTATTCACAGGACACTGTATTTATGGGATTCCCCATGCAAGGGGTTTCCCTACTGACATTCCAGGGGTGTTACAGTAGGGGACTACATGGGGAACTGACCAACACATACATTTCTCCCACCATGCACTACTGCACGAAAGGGATACTCCCCCTAGAATATAGCAGAACTTACATTTTACATTAAAAGGCATAACTTTAATAATATTCCCCTGATTTACACGAATGGACATTCGGTAGATAGCTGGAGGCTGAGCGCACAGTTCGTGAGAATACCGCTCAGATCCCAGTCTCACTAACTGAACGCCGCATGAAATACACATTATTTCTAACACATTGCAAAACTACCGATTGGTATTAGGGGAACAAACTACCGAACGGCCGGGGCTCCCGAACAGCCTGGAAGTCCAGCGGTGTTCGCGCTGTAGAGTAGATGATTTTAGTTCCAGGCGATCGACGGCAAAACACTGCTGGGCTAACAAAGGATCCAAGATGGCCGACCGCCGCGTGGTCGGTAGTCGAACGGCGGCCACCCAGGGAAGCCTTTAACTACCGATTGCAACAATGTTGCAATCAGTTAATGGGCGCCACACAACCTCTTGTGTGTGGTCGACCATTCGGTAGTTTATTCGTTTCACGAACAGTGTTGAAACTCACTGTTCGTGAAACTACATTAGGAAAGCTGGGTTTTCCATACTGCAAGCATACGAACGCCCTCATTCGTCTGAAAGACACATACAGTACTACACTTGGTTCTCACGGCTGAAATAGGGATATACAGGGAGTGCAGAATTATTAGGCAAATGAGTATTTTGACCACATCATCCTCTTTATGCATGTTGTCTTACTCCAAGCTGTATAGGCTCGAAAGCCTACTACCAATTAAGCATATTAGGTGATGTGCATCTCTGTAATGAGAAGGGTGTGGTCTAATGACATCAACACCCTATATCAGGTGTGCATAATTATTAGGCAACTTCCTTTCCTTTGGCAAAATGGGTCAAAAGAAGGACTTGGCAGGCTCAGAAAAGTCAAAAATAGTGAGATATCTTGCAGAGGGATGTAGCACTCTTAAAATTGCAAAGCTTCTGAAGCGTGATCATCGAACAATCAAGCGTTTCATTCAAAATAGTCAACAGGGTCGCAAGAAGCGTGTGGAAAAACCAAGGCGCAAAATAACTGCCCATGAACTGAAAAAAGTCAAGCGTGCAGCTGCCACGATGCCACTTGCCACCAGTTTGGCCATATTTCAGAGCTGCAACATCACTGGAGTGCCCAAAAGCACAAGGTGTGCAATACTCAGAGACATGGCCAAGGTAAGAAAGGCTGAAAGACGACCACCACTGAACAAGACACACAAGCTGAAACGTCAAGACTGGGCCAAGAAATATCTCAAGACTGATTTTTCTAAGGTTTTATGGACTGATGAAATGAGAGTGAGTCTTGATGGGCCAGATGGATGGGCCCGTGGCTGGATTGGTAAAGGGCAGAGAGCTCCAGTCCGACTCAGGCGCCAGCAAGGTGGAGGTGGAGTACTGGTTTGGGCTGGTATCATCAAAGATGAGCTTGTGGGGCCTTTTAGGGTTGAGGATGGAGTCAAGCTCAACTCCCAGTCCTACTGCCAGTTCCTGGAAGACACCTTCTTCAAGCAGTGGTACAGGAAGAAGTCTGCATCCTTCAAGAAAAACATGATTTTCATGCAGGACAATGCTCCATCACACGCGTCCAAGTACTCCACAGCGTGGCTGGCAAGAAAGGGTATAAAAGAAGAAAATCTAATGACATGGCCTCCTTGTTCACCTGATCTGAACCCCATTGAGAACCTTTGGTCCATCATCAAATGTGAGATTTACAAGGAGGGAAAACAGTACACCTCTCTGAACAGTGTATGGGAGGCTGTGGTTGCTGCTGCACGCAATGTTGATGGTGAACAGATCAAAACACTGACAGAATCCATGGATGGCAGGCTTTTGAGTGTCCTTGCAAAGAAAGGTGGCTATATTGGTCACTGATTTGTTTTTGTTTTGTTTTTGAATGTCAGAAATGTATATTTGTGAATGTTGAGATGTTATATTGGTTTCACTGGTAATAATAAATAATTGAAATGGGTATATATTTGTTTTTTGTTAAGTTGCCTAATAATTATGCACAGTAATAGTCACCTGCACACACAGATATCCCCCTAACATAGCTATAACTAAAAACAAACTAAAAACTACTTCCAAAAATATTCAGCTTTGATATTAATGAGTTTTTTGGGTTCATTGAGAACATGGTTGTTGTTCAATAATAAAATTAATCCTCAAAAATACAACTTGCCTAATAATTCTGCACTCCCTGTACACACATTCAATATGGCTAGTCTTAAGTGGCTAGTTTTGCCACACATGGCATTTCTCTCATGCAAGAGCTCTTCACTGCATTGAATTTTAAGATGTCAATTTTGGAGGAGGCTTGTGCATCTTTGTTGATAACAAAGTTAACTTAACATAATTTTAAAATTTAAAGTCATATTGACAGCCACTAGAAATGCTTAGATGTGACTGACATAGTAAAATTCTCTATGAGGAGAATTGAATTGGATGTTGGCATTGACAGAGGATGCCATGCCTCCTCTGTGATGTCGCAGGAAATCTTCAACACATAAATAAAACATTTAATGTTATTATTTTATATGGTAAACAGGGGTGGAGTGGGGGATATTTTTAACTATGGACAGGGGCACTAAAGTATTACATACAGATAATGCTTTAGTGTTCCTTTAAATTATTGTTATATTTATTACTTGTAGTATTTATATAGTGCCAGCATATTCTGCATCACTTTACAATTATATAGTAGCATATAAAAAAAAAATGTATTGACATACAAATAGTGTTGACAGAAGCAAGAAGTTAAAAGGGCCCTGCTTACAAACAAGAAAATTCAAGCTCTTGTCAATTTCTGTTTATTAAAATTAATTGTCAGTCTAAGTATTCAGGTAAAACTAAGCAGAAAGGATATTGGCACTATCATACCTGTGGGTATTTTTTTTATTTTTTTTATTTTTTATAATTCTTTATTTTTGTGGTGCGAATGGTTAACACAAGCTCTTGCCATGCCCCAACAGCAGGTACAAGATTGGTAAAATACATACATGAAAAGGTATAAGGCATAGAAGGT